CCTTTAGGAGGCTTCCCTGAAGCCTCCAAAGGGCAAAAAGCGCCCCACGAGCACACCGGAAGTCACTTCCGGTTTGCTGGTAGGGTTGGTTTAAGCCCCCCGGAGGCTTCAGGGACCTTTAGGAGGCTTCCCTGAAGCCTCCAAAGGGCAAAAAGCGCCCCACGAGCACACCGGAAGTCACTTCCGGTTTGCTGGTAGGGTTGGTTTAAGCCCCCCGGAGGCTTCAGGGACCTTTAGGAGGCTTCCCTGAAGCCTCCAAAGGGCAAAAAGCGCCCCACGAGCACACCGGAAGTCCATTCCCGAAGTTCCGGTTTGCCCATAGGGGCGGTTTTTTGTGTTCCGGAGACTTCAGGGAAGCTCCTGAAGTCGCCGGAGGGCCTCGGGGCGGGGGGAGGCTCTTTTTGCCCTCCCCAGACTCCTATAAAGCCCCTGGAGCCTGGGGACGGCGAAAAATGGCTTTAAAAAAGGCTGAACTCAGCTGGCCGGCACACGCATGCGCGCTGGCCAGCTGACAAGGCAATGCCTCGTGCACTCTGACAAATGGCTCTGCGTACCACCTGTGGCACGTGTGCCATACGTTTGCCATCCCGGGTCTAAACCCTAGCTGACATGATATATATCATCTTCACATCTCAGAAAAAATACCCAGATGTTAATATACTTGAGGCGATAATCTCAAAGAAATGGCATGTTATAAATGCAACAAATAATAAATAACAACTATTTCTGCTTTATTGCATTCATTTTTAAAAAAAATTAACGTGGAAAAAACACAGAAACTACCCCAACTTTTACCAACCTACCTGAACTTCTTGAACAGAGAGTCCCGCATTCTCCAGCAATGTTTGTTCCATGAACAATTTAGAATAAGTTTCTTGTAATTGTCTAGTGACCGTTTCAGATGATGACATTGTCTTTGTTTTATTGGCAACGGCTTCTTTTTGTTTCTTATAAAGTTCCTGGAGTCTCTTATTTTTTTGCTGCGTTGCCTCCCTTTGCGCTTTCTTTTCTTCACTTCGTCTCCTCTTCCTTTCCTCTTGCTGTCTCACAATGTACTGGCGTACTTCCTTTGCATCATAGTGGCGTTTCTTTAAGATAAACTGAGTGTCTTCGCTGATGGGAACTTTGTCTGATTTCTTTTTGCTTGGACTGTGACTTCTAGAAAAGGGACGTGGTTCTGATTCCTGGTTTTGACATATTCCATTCCTCATCTCTAAATTCTGAGCGACAGAATCCAATTGCAGATCATCAAGAAGCCCACGGATTTCTACTGGCAAGAAATCCTTATTGACATGATCATCTCTCAGTCCCTCATTGTGAGGAGCAGCATCTTTTCCCTTTAGGTCATTCTTTGCTCTTATTTTGCTCCATGAACGCTCAGGATGCATTGTGAGGGGTTTTTCAGCCACAGGCATATGGCAGTCAGTTTCTGTTATTTGAGCTGGAGATACGAGAGGGAAGCAGAGGGGGAAGATCAGAATTTAGCATTAGCAAGGAACTAAGATTCAAAGTCACATATTCATCTTAATATGCAGTATTTGGTGGGAAATATTTTTTAATCTATCTTATTTTATGAAATTTGAACATTATATCCAGAAACCACATTCTTCGATATAGAAAGAAAAATTATTTTTGAAAGATTGGAAATAATGCTGGGCAATAAAATAATATACAACTGCAATGTAATTTATTTTAACCATTACCTGAAAAAGAATACATACAACTTTGAAAACTGGTCATGAAAGAATTAGTTAGGGCTACAATTTTCATGTTCTCAGATTTTCAACTGCAACACCCAAAAGAGGTTGCTGTATAAAAGAAATTATTTACAGTAGTGGTGTCAAACGTGCAGTGTCTTGTGAAGTATTGTGACTTTTCCTCCTTTGCTAAAATGAGCGTGGGCGTGGCCAGTGCATGATACATATGGCCTGTGGGCCGCGAGTTTGACACCTCTGATTTACAGCATAATCAGGCTTCTATTCCATATCTGCAATTTTGCAAAACTGGGTATGGTCAGCAATGGAGTAATTTAAAACTTCAAAATCTCACTGCCTTCGTCCAAAAATGATAATTTTTATATAATTTTCTTTGAAAGTTCCTTTACTAGTAGCAAAGTATGACATGAAATATTGCTAAGTGGTCAAGCAGGGTGAATCTTAAGTTTTATTTACCTCTATTATTTTGTCTCTTTTTAAAAAAAGGAATATATTAGTAACTCTGCGCTATACAGCAGCAGACTCCAACCTTTCCGGCTCTAGGGAGAATAGCAATAGCAATAGCAGTTAGATATATACCGCTTCATAGGGCTTTCAGCCCTCTCTAAGCGGTTTACAGAGAGTCAGCATATCGCCCCCACAGTCTGGGTC